CACAATGAACATCCTTCTGTTTAATTCCACTTCCTTAGGGGACACAAATGACTGATACTTTGTTGACAGATGAGCTGCCTGACAGATTCATATTTGATCCAGATCTGTTCTTCATGGAAGAAAAGAAATAAGCATAAGCTGAGGTTAGTGACTGAATATCTATGCTAGGATTAGGCTACTATAGCCATTATTTTATCCATTTTGCCAGGTGGTAAGCCACAAGAAGAGTTAATGCAATGGGAGACTCTTCTGCAAACAGATATGAGACTTTTAGGGGAATAACTGACAGGAGTTCCTAGCATCAGAGCTCCACTGAAATCAGACTTTCATAGAATGATGGTCCTTCGATCTATGCACCTGTATCAGTTACATTTCAAGTGTTCCTGGCATCCAAATTGGTCCCAAGATATGAAGGCCATAAAGCTGATCTTTGCTTATGTTCAGGTAAATATGTATAAGTATGCATAAGAAATTCAGGGAAAGAAACCATAGCACCCTTCAGCAAAGGAAGAAATTGTATAAATCAGGGGGATTCAACCTTTTTGGATCAGTGTACCCCCAGCAACCGGACACGGAGCCCCAGTCGACAACCCCTGGTATAAATAACAACAGCAATAATGGATATGGGCATTCGTATTTCAACTACTATTTCTAATAGCTGCAAGTCTTATAAATCCTTAATGCAATTAATCTTTTTCTAACTGAAATTACCAAAATGCATTGAACAATTGCTTTAATTTTCTGGCACTGATACATGAACAGATGACTTGTTGCTTGTTTTTAAAAGGTCTGTAACTTTGAGTCAAATTCTTTATTGCCTCCCACTTGTTTTTTGAGTTTCCTTTAAACTGAAGACAAAAGCAAGAAATGCTCCATTACTGAAACTACATTAAAAGTTGTTTTAAATAGTTATTTCCACACTGAATTTTAAAAGGTATTTGGCAAAACCTCATTAAGACATTACATATTTTATGTTTTTCAATTTTTGTTAATTACAACGTATTTGGTGATGTCACAGTTTAGTGCTTTTGACTTAGTAGATCGCTTTGGAATGCCAAAGTAAGCTGCTGCGGGGCTCTGGTGGTGGAAGCACTAAGGCACACAGTTGACAGCTCAGCCAAGACCATAGCAGAAGTACTTATGGCAGTGCCGTCACATTTAAATGCATCTGTAAATTCTGCTAAATGCCTTATCACAAGGACACAAAAAAAGAAAGGAAGTAGGCCACTCTATAGCGAGCAACTGTATGAATCAGACAGGAAACAAAAGTTGACAATGGTTCTTAAAGTTCAAAACCTTAACAAAAACTGCATTACAGAAAGCTTAAAAAGAAGTGAAATAAATGTCTCTTGAAGTCAAAGAATTCCAGGAAAACTGGAGAAATTCAAGAAAATTTAAATTTCTGCAACCCACCTCACGATGTGCGTTTATGCAATATATTTAAAGGAGAAAAAGTATAAGAATAACAAGAGAACAGAGAAAAAAATATTGGGCTAACCTGAGGCAGAGTCAGAAGTTATGGTTTCACCATCTGAATTTGCATGCAAGTATTTTGCTAAACTGCAAATATGACAGAAAAAGAAATGGGGGAGAACTCTAGGACAGTTAACTAAGGTACTGATAAATTAATGCATAAATGAAAGCTTGATGACACAATGGTTATTATTTTTCATTTGAAAAATATCACATCTGCTGAGCAGTGCTATACATTTTGTTTTGCATGCATTTAGTATGCAGCATATTGTATGTTGAATACATTTTAATGCATCAGAACCTCTCTCATGAATCATGAATTTTGAAAGACACCTACATCCAATAGCATTTAATTTCTATATTAAAAGATGGCAAAACTTCTTCATGTTGGAACCACCATTAATCCACTTAAGGGAAAGTATTCCATTAGGGTCTTGTTTGGGGAGCCTGTTGTTGTTTCTTGTGGGTTGTTTAGTCTTTCATTGTAAGCTGCCCTGAGCCTTCTTGGGAAGGGTGGCATATAAATCTAATAAATAAATAAATAAATAAATAAAATTACCTCAAAACCAAGAGTATAAATCTGGAAAATCTATAGAAGTTAAATATAAAATAAATCCAAACAGCAAATTAAGGAAACACAACCAAGGTGCTCAAATGCATAAAGCTACTAACCCCAGATTAAAGTTACTTTTATAGAGATTAGATTTTTTTTTCCTCATAAATCTTCTTCACTGTGTCAGTTGCATTTTTATATTTAAACACAGACATGAAATACAGGACCTGTTGCTGGTGATTGTCTATTTTTTTTTATTGTTGCGATTTTTAATTTCTCTCATTTTATCCTTGCCACTCTCAGTGCTCCAGTTCCTCTTCCTACAGTGTTTCTATTACTTAACGGCTTTTGAGAGCTATCAAATAGACAAGAAAAATGTCAACTTGAGTAGGAGCATAGAAGTTTACCCTTTTTGCTGGATTCCCAGCAGACTACTGTTGATCATATAATTCTATGTTAAACATTTATCAAAAAAAGTTTGATCACGAACAAGACACACTGTAGTTCTCATGACTGCTTCTAAATGCCTTCTAATGAATTGCATGAAAAACAATTAAAGCCTCCATGCCATGGCCAAGAACCTCTTTCTGCATATATTATTCAATTTTTAATCTGTTTTTTGTATAAATAACACAGCAACAAAGGAAATGGAGCAAAAATGTTTTACACTTGTTCGCCACTTTCTTGCTTATATCAGGTTTACCCAGTACAAATTGGTTTTACCAAAGCCACATATGGTACACAGAGCTTGACCTAAATTTAAATCACCATGCACCTACTAGCAAGAGTCGATAAAGAGACATGACCATCAGTCTCCTCTAATATGGCGCAAGGAAAACACCTAGACAATGTATTTATTCATCTACAACCCTTCTTGATGCAATTTGCACAAGGCTGATGCCTCTGGAGCCTATTCAGGATCTCCCTCTCTCACGTTTTACTTAGATTTCAGTAAGGCCTTTGATTCCGTCTCCCACAGAATTCTCTCAATTAAACTGGAGAGTACTGGCCTGGACCAGCTTACAGTGAGGTGGGTGGATAACTGGCTTAGAGGCTGGTCCTAGAGAATTGCAATTGATGGGACAGCCTCATCCCGGAGGCCCGTCTCCACTGGTGTCCCACAGGGATCGCTGCTTGGACCCGTGCTTTTTAACATATTTATTAATGATTTGGATGAGGGGGTGGAATGCTCTATGATTAAGTTTGCAGACGATACCAAGCTGTGTGGAAATGCAGGCAAACCAGAGGATAGGGTAAAGATCCAGGACAACCTTGACAGACTGGTTCTAAGAGCTGAATGGAATCAGATGAGGTTCAACAGGGAAAAGTGCCGGGCCCTTCACCTAGGTAGGAAGAACCTTCATTCACAACTATAGGATAGGTGGTAGTCCACTGGCTAGCACAGCATCTGAGCAGGACCTCAGGGACACAATCAACCAGAAGATGAATAATGAGCCAACAGTGCAAGGAAGCTGCCAGCGAGGCAAACAGAACTTTGGCATGCATTAGCCGATGTGCTGCCAACAGATCCAGGGAGGTGCTTCTACCTCTCTACTCAGAGTTAGTGTGGCTGCAACTGGAGTCCTGTGCCCAGTTTTGGGCTACGCACTTCAAGAAGGATGCGGATCAACTCAAGAGGATGCAGAGAAGGGCCACCCACATGATTACAGGTGTGGACGATAGACCCCATGAGGAGAGACTCCGGGAACTAGGCTTGTTCCAGTCTGGGTAAGAGGAGGCTATGAGGTGATTTGATAGCCACCTACAAGTACATCGGGGGGTGGCGGGGGAAGGAACAACAAGATCTGGGGGAGCAATTCTTTAGGAAGGCACCCTTTGGGAGGACACGGACCAATGGTCACAAACTAATAGAGGGAAGATTTAGGCTGGCATAAGGAAGAACTTCTTCTCCGTAAGGGTAACTAGAACCTGGAACACACTTCTGGCAAAGGTGATGCAGTCGCCATCCTTGGAGGTGTTCAAGAGGAAGCTGGATAAGCACTTCATTGAGCTCATTAACCTCCTGCCTATGGCAGGGGACTGGACTTGATCCTACAGGTCCCTTCCAGTCCATTGACTCTAGGACTATGTTTGTCATAGTCACACTCATTCTTAATTCAAAAATATTTTCTCCATTGCCTCCTGACTATTATGAGATGGCAACTTGGCCACTACTGGAGAGGTCCACAGTGGGGGACAGATTCTTCTACCGTATTTCTAACAAATGGCTACGAGGTTGTAGCAATTGGTCTTCCTTTTCCAACTCCCTTCTGAGAGGTATAAATCAAGGGAGTAGCAGGCTCAACATCTGTATGCAGTCCAGCTACCACTGGAGGACAACAGACCTTCACACTTGGAGTAGTATAGACAACAAAAATTAAAACTGCTCATGGATTCCCTGTATTAGAACTTTAGAGCTGCTCTTTAGTGGGAAAGTTCATGCACTTCTATCCAAATTTCACTGTTTAAAGAAGCGATGTGGAACTAAACCAATGAAAATGTCTCAATTTCACTCTGTAGCTTCCCTGCCACATACCTGCCAGAGAAAGAATCTAAGCCTTCATCTTACGTTCATTACCATGGTACAAATGGTTAGCTCTGTCTACCATTAAAAAGTAACTTCATTTTCAAAGAACTGCTGATATACAGTTGTTAAATTTAGCAAGGAAGACTTAATTGAGGCATTTTAACAAGAGGTTAGTTGCTTCTGGAACAGTATGGCTGAACAAGAGGCCAAAACTGAGAAGAATCTCAGTCTCCAAATTAAAAAAAAAAAAAGATAAATTAGTGATACTACTAAAAAAGAAGCACTTATAAGAAATGCTGTGTGTAAGACCGATAGGAGGTTATATATGTGAATTAAGACTAAGTGAACAAAGGAACTCAAATGAGCACCTTTCCTGAAAGACACTT